CACTTGGAACAGAATGTGTTACTTTATACTGGAGGCAATCATTTACAAAGAATAAATTGTGGCAAGCTGGGTAGATTGCCAGGCTTTTGTATTGCAATGAATCAGAAGGATTGGTTGTGACACTTGCAACTAGAGATCAGGTGAAAGAGTGGCAAGGTTCAAGTTCCAGCAGCACTCACTGCCTAAAGACAGCACTACTGGCCTTTAGTATTTATTTGGGTGTATGTAGCCCCAGCAGTCCCTAGTTTTTGAGTGCCAGCAGACTACAGTGTCTCAGTGACTACAGTTTTCTTCCCCTTCTTGTTAATCCTGTCCATGTGGTACTCTAACAAGTAGCTCTGACTTTTATGGGCAGATCTGGCACAGTAAATCTTCAAGAGAAACTTCTTCTTATTTCTCTGAAGCCACAACAAACTACTACCAGAACAGCATAAAATACTCAAGGTGAGGCCTCACCAGCACTAAATACAGATGGATAATCAGTTCTTTTGACTGGAAAATACCTTTTTTGATCAGTAATCACCTCTTTTTACTGGAAAATATTTTATCTTTATCAAAACATTTAATGTAAAATCCAGCTTTTATAACAATTATGTATGGGTGCAGTCTCTGATTTAAGCTGCCTTTGAAACAGAGGCAGTGGCGTGATAGAATATGTTCAAACACTGTTTTGGAAATGAGAACACCAGGGTTTCACACCATAGTGCATGACCTTTGATTAGTTATACAATTTTTTGGTGCAACACTTTTCTCTTTGTAAAACAAAGGTGATAGCGTTCATCGACTATACGTTTTGTCATTAAAAAGGCATTTATGAAAGTGAAAATGATATAGAAGTTAAAAAATAATCAAAGTACCTTCTTAAGAGAGAAAGAGTCTTTGTGAACTGAAAGATCTGCCCTCTGATGTGTGTCTTATTGGGGAAAAAATAAATATATTTTTCCCCTACAATTATATGTCCTAACTGATGTCTTTGTAGATGCTGAGCTGTCAACAACTAGACTCTGTCAAATTTTTCTCCTTTTTTATTTTTATTTTTCCCAGATGAGCAAGAGAGAAAACCATACTAATGCAATAATTTTCTTATTTTCTTGTTTAAGTGTGTATTTATAAAGGGGTTGGAAAATGCTTGTTTACTGGGGGGGAAATGTATTTACTAGAGGAAAAAGGAGAAGAAACAGATAATTAACCTCTTCTCCCACTCTCTAATGTTATTGGAGGACAGACTTCAGATTACTGCAGTTCTGTAGAGATTTATGTTCTAAATATTACCAATTATTACATCTAAGTCTGGAGTACACAAAATGACTAAGACTTTCAGAGGCATCTAGTGAATTTTATGTGTTCTAGAAAGTATGAAGCATTTTCTATCTGAAAATATAACTAATGTAATACATTTTAAGTTTTCATAGGAATTTGACATAACAGGATTTGGTATATGTGCTACGGTATGGCTGTTTGTCTATGTGCTCTTCTCTGTCTTATCCTTCTGTCAGTGTGAGGTGGCTTATCTCTCTTTTATGACAGACTAAGAAGTTTTGAATTACTTTTCTTTTTCTACACATATATTTGCATTACTTTAAGATGCAAATATTTCTTTTTGCAGATATGCACTGTTGCAACTTTGATCCAAGGAAGCAGAAAAACATACATTTAAATGTATTAACTCCCCATTGAGTACAGTATGGAAGATCTTTCATGACTCAGGCTCTTTATCATTAATTAATATTGGATTACTCTGGTATTCATGAAGATACTGATAGTGAAATCCTTAGGGTACGTGTTTTTCTTCTGTAAGTTTGGGAATTCAGAAGGCAGCAAATTGTGAGGAAGTTCTTTCATATGCAATTACATGTTCAGACAAGCATCCTGACTGTCAAGTTTCTTGCCCTACCTAGGAAAGGAATACATCTATCATGCAAGTGTTTTTTTCTTTGTTGTTGGTTGTGGAGGTGGTGATAGTTTGTTGGTTGTGTGTGTGTTTTTTTCCCCACATTTAATAAGCTAATATTTTACTAATTTCTACAAAACAAGAATAGAATCAGGAGCCTGAGATTTACTGTTTAGTGGTTTTCAGGAAATAACTGCTGTTTTCCCAAATTGCTTTCCACTTTAGAAAGGATATATTTCTTATCTTTCATTGACTATGTTTGTCATTGTCAGAGAAATTCGTCTGCACTACCTGACCCCACATGACCATCTGTCTGTTTTGGCTGGGCAGTGATGCCTGTAGGCTCAGAGCTGACCTCAGCCACTGGCACGCTGTGACCAAGGTCACTAATCCAGCTGGAAGGCTTGCAGGAGTCATTCTCACTCCTGGAAAAGTTTTGATAGGTTCTTTTCCCAGGAGCCATCTTGCCAGACCAAAGGGCTGGTGAGACTGCACCACCAGTATATATGGGGAATTCCTTTGAATGCTACTTTCCTCTGAAAAGTAATAGTGGGGAAAAACAAACAAACAAACAACTGTTTTGTATTTTTTTTTAACAGTGACAGTGTTTGGTTGTTCATTTGAGAACGTATAAAAGCCACTTTTCACAACAAAACTATCCAGGATCTTGGATATATAAAATTAGTTCTTGTTAGTCAGTACAATACACAGAGTTAATTTGAACTGAATTGCCAAAGAAGAGCTGATCAATGTTCTTATAATGTTTTTCAATTACTAATAGTTGTTTTAAAAGGACTTTTAACTGTATAGATGTGTTTATAGAGTGAAAATGATGAACTAAAAAACAATCCAAATATTCACTTATGTTTTTTTAGTTCTGCTGCTTAGAATTCTACTAATTCTACTAAAACTATAAAGAATCATGCTGCTTTATGTATGTTATGTAACTGTTACAAATCCTTTTTTTTTTTTTTTTTTCAAGTGCAGCTTACATTTGAGGAATATATGGAGCCAATAATTTTAGCTTGCTTATTTGTGAATGTAGTTTTAGAACAAATTTTCTTTGTGCAAGTATAGTATCTTCGAATTTTTGTGTGATTTTTATAATCTTTTCTGTATCTTGAATTCTTACTGTCTCACAGAGAGAATATATTCCACATTTTCTGTAACAGGACAACTTTATGTAGAAACTGTCTTAATGATCTCTGCACTATTTTTTTCCTGAATTCTTTAATTAAGGATGGGATTTCTATCTCTTTGAAAAAGTCTTCTCTCAACACCTGCCCCGTGTTACTGTGAATACCTGCAGTATTTTCAGGCTTATTGACACACACACACATGGTATATTATTCTTGACTGGCCTAAGTCCTAAGTGATTTCCCCTGGTCTTCTCAGCAGAAGCTCCTCTAGAATTAGTTTGTTTGTTATTTTGGTTCTTCTGAGCCCATATTTTTTCCCACAGGAGGAAGTTAATTCCTCACCTGAATGGAATTTTTCTCTTTTCTGGTTGTTCCACTGGGGGATAAAGAAGTGTGCTCTCAAACACCTTCTGATTGATGAAGGACTTTAATATAGGGAGAAGAAAATTCTAATGGAGACAGTGAAGCACATAATCTGTAGAATATCCCCTAACAGAAGGAAATTGAAAATCTGTCTTTCTTAGTGAGCTTAGTTACTGCTGGTCCTTCTATGAGAATTGTTAGTGTTTTTTTCAAGTGTTTAAATCCTTCCTGTTTTAATTATTTTGGCTGTTAGAAGAAAGTTTTTTCAATATTCAATTAAGTCTTCAATAAGTCCACATCAAGAAATGTTATAAGTACTGCGTTATATTCTGGAATTCTCTAGTCACAATTTAGGCAAAACATGCTTTATCTGCAAAACCAGGAGGAACGGTAAAATTTCCCCTTATCTATGCTTCTTTTCAGATTCAAACAAAGACATTGAATCTGACATTGGAGTTAAGCTGAGGCAGGGGAAGTTTAGGCTGGACATCAGGAAGGGGTTCTTCACAGAGAGAGTGGTTGCACACTGGAACAGGCTCCCCAGGGAAGTGGTCACTGCACCGAGCCTGTCTGAATTTAAGAAGAGATTGGACTGTGCACTTAGTCACATGGTCTGAACTTGGGTAGACCTGTGCGGTGTCAAGAGTTGGACTTGATGATCCTTAAGGGTCCCTTCCAACTCAGGATATTCTATGATTCTATGATTCTATGATTCTATGACATTTAGGAAGTACTGCAGATATTTACAATCTTACAATCAATTACCATCATTACCTCCTCTTTTTGCCTGTTTTTTTTTTGTTGTTGTTGTTTCTTTTTGTTTGTTTGTTTGTTTGTTTGTTTGTTTGTTTTGTGAAGAAACGATAGACATACTAGATCAAATTTATACCAAAGAAAATTTTTACAGAACTGAAGAGCTATGCAGTTAATTAATGACGCAGTGAAGGATGATGTGATGCTGGAGCTTGTTGTCACTGAGATTCAGCTGTGGCCCTTATCCATCTGTCTGTGTCTCTCCCCCAGGGAGCTCTTCAAACCGGTTTGTGCTTTTCTCTTGAGAGCAGAACAGCAGCATCATGTACCTGCATAAGCTGATGTCCTGTGGGTGGCTGCTCTTGAAGGCACAAAATTGTTGAGGATAGTGGCATGCTCTGTGCCTCAATGAACCACCCACATCATGCAAGTTCTCTACCTCAAGAACTACTGATATAAGAAAAAAAAAAAAAAAAACACTTTTCCCCCATGAGGTTAAATTACGCCTTCTGACAAAGAAACCCATTGTCTGTTTTGAATAGAGCTTTGCAAGGTCTGTGGATCTCCAAAACTGTGGATGTGTGGGATGAGGTGTGAGGAGAGAAAGGGACTTTTGACTTCTATGACATTGATACTCAGCACGTTCTTTAATCTAAAGCAATTAAAAAATAAAATGTCACCATGTAGATTTTAATTATGTTTTGAGTTCAAAGAATATCTAGGCTTATTTTTTTCTACAGAAAAAAAAAACAAAACTGCTGTATCATACTGTTGTTTTGTAGGGTTTTTATCTTTTTTAAATATATATATATATATAATAATAATATTTGTATTTTATTTATTTATTTATTTATTACAATCACAACTAATGTTATTTCTTTTTACTTCTTTAAGGAGGGTGTTGTGGAAAAATAATTACATTCTGTAGTGATCTTTGTTTTCTCCTAAAACGATGTGACTAAAGACAAGAGTAAAGGTGAGTTTTATTCTCTTTCTTCTGTACAGAAATCAGGGAAGTGTGAAGGTAGCATTCATAGGGATGACTATATAAATAGGTCATGTTTATAAATTTATAAATAAGAAGGGGGCCTACCTATCAGAGAGTGTGTCCCATAGGAGGAATGAAATGATGACAAAAAGCAGATGGGAATTCCTGAAAGCAGCATCAGCAGGTCAGTAAGTATTCTGACCTCCAGGAAAATATTATCCTCCTACTCTTTGTGGAATACAATCTCAAAAGTAAACTTGTGAAAAATGATGAGTCATACCACACCACCAATCTCCATTACAGTGGGAAATATTTAGCTCTGCATTTGTGAACTAGGTCCAACAGCAACGGTGTAATTCTATGTTTAATAATCCATCCTTCACTCTGCCAACCTTCTGCCTATCCTGGCCTTAATTATATGAAATATTTCCAATTTTTTTCTCTCTGATCCCTTTTCTTCTCCCAGGGTCCCCTTTCCTAGTAATGCAGGCACAGTTAATTAAGTCTTCAGTAGAAGTCAAGTAGAAGTCATGAGCCTATTTAACTGCTCTGGGAACAGAAGGGCTAAAGGGAATGGAACAAGAGGGCTGGAGAGACATGGAGGAAGTTAAGAGAGATGAATTTACATCCCTTCTTTTGCCAAGCATAAAGATAGGGAAAGGTGGCAATGTCTCAGCCTATAAATTTCTGGATGAAAAGTATTATTCTTGGATTTTGCATGTCTTCTAATCAATTTTCTCCTGAGTCAGCAGACATCATCTCTCCACTGAGTTTCTCCCCCTTTACCCTTTTGTAGCAGCACCTGCTATCTTGACTTTCCAAAGCTTTGGAGAAATTAAGCAAATGGGTCTCTGTCCATAGCTGTAAGGTGTGTGCAGTTTTCATATCTAGAGGTATTAATTCCTCGCAGCTGGAAGAGCGCAAGCAGGTGAATCAGTCCTGATGTCAGAGCAGAAAGCTCATTGGTCCTTCTTACTTGGTTGGGGAATACACACTATAGTACAATAAATCTGGGAGAAAGCCCTTTAACAAGGTGACCGAATAGTTACTTTCCATTCATGGGTTTGTAGGCAAGTTTCTTCCTCTGCAGTGCCTAGGAGCAGAATCATTACAAAGGAACAGATAACATATTCCATCTGAGATGGCCTCACAGCCACTTTTTTCAGCTAAGTTAATGTTTTCCAATTCACTTGTACTGTGCACATTTATCAGGCAAGAGTAGCTCTAGGTGTAAGCCTTGCTGACGTCAGTGAATCTACACTGGCAAAAGTTTGTCTAAGCTTCCTTTTCATGCTTAGACAGAATGGCTTCAACAAGAACCGGAGAATTAGGACTTTCTTTCATCTCTCTGTTGCTCGAGAAATCAAAATAATGTCTTCAGTAAAATAAAAGGTTTTAAAAGAAGCAGGAAATGCAGTAGCAAACAGAAGCAAACAAACTACTTTTAATGTCAATGTTGATTGAACAGAAAACATTTCATTTAATATGAACAGTAATAGCTGATTATTAAATCTGACAAACTTCTAAAAATGTCTGTTTTTCTTCCTGCTCATATTAGCACCCATTTCGCTAGCAATACTGAGCCCACTGTGTCTGCCTGGCATGAATAATAAGCATCTGTCAGACTATCTGCAGCTACAATTAAATACTGAAACTGCTGTATAGTTTCTAAACAAATAGAAGCTGAATATCTGGCTGTTTCTATCCTGGGATTTCAATTGCATGCAGTCCACAGGGGACTTAACTTTGCTCTGTAGTGCATTGCAGAAGGCACTTAAGCTGTATGACCATTAATTTAATCATCCTGAAGTTTACCACTGGGAACAAGAGGGCAGGAAGGGAAGGAGACCTGAGAAGTGTACAGTAGTGATCAGTTGGTTGTTCACTCTGCAGAAGCCATCATCACAACAGGCATTAATTGACTCCCTTGTTGGCAGTCTCCATGGATAGTTGAAATCACTCCAAGCCTAAGCTGGTCTAATAAAAGTATTACCTCTCTCCATAGACCTTGCCTCATATACTGAAATAGGCTTTCTCCAATAGGGGTGGTCCCTCTGAGATAGCCCTGAGGCCAACTTTTTACAGGGAGGTTTAATGTGTCTACGCATACAGTGGGGGAATAAATGCCAAATTTGCTCACCATGCTTGTCACCTAAAAACCTTTCATGGCATTCAGTTTGTATATCAAAACCTCATCACATATATATATATATATATATATATATATATATACATATATATATATATATATATGTGTATATATATATATATATATATATATATTATATATTACTATATATAATTATTATATATTATATTATACACTATTATATATAATATAATTATATATATTATGATATATATATTATATATTATTATATATATTATATATATATAATTTTTTTTTGTTCTTTTAAAATATATTTCAAATTTAAAAAGAAGACATTAAGAGAAAGAGCTCTGTTTAGGACCTTGATACTAATTATGTATTTGAACTACTGCTAAAATTTAGTTATTTTTTAATATCCCAAATGTTATTCCACTCTTTTCTTCTGAAGTGTATACCAGATATATCTTCTCACACTTTATTCTACCTAAAGAGCAAATTTTCAAAATTTGGCATATAATGCCTGACATAAAAGGCTGTGATTTTCTACTGAGAGCTTTTCATAAATCTGTAAACCCTAAAGGGTGGAAATGTCCACCTAATCTGATGATATATCCATATACTACACATTTCCTTCCAATTACATTTTTTCTTAAACTGCCACATTTCTGTTTGGCTGAAATATATTTTAAAGAAAATCAGTCAATCTTTAAGTCAAGAAATGGAGAATTGCTGTTTCCCTCAGTAATTTATATTGAGGGCTGGTAGCTCTCCTAATGACATGTCTGTGCCTTTATTTTAAATGTAAAATTGCATGGATTTAGTATCCAGACATTTAAAAATATTTACGTGTATTTCAATTAAAATATTATTTTTCTATTTTTAGAAAGGTTGATATTAAATTTTCTTGGAGGAGTTCCAATGTTTTAATTACATAATCTCAGTCTTCTTTTTTGATTAACTAAATGGACTTGACTCCTTAATTATTTCTTTTCCTTGTATATGTTCCTCAGTTATTTGGGGGTTCTCTGATCTCTCTTCTCTGTCAATATCCCTTTCAAAATCTCGTCAGAACGAGATGCAGCACTCCAATTTTGTTTGCACTATGGTTGTAGAGATATATAATGCCCACTTTTTTTTTTTTCAAAATCATTTGCTGTTCACATCAACTTTCCTGATTGTGTTGGTTTGTCAGTCCTTCTGGAAATTGTGCCACTTCTATATAAATGACTTGCTTTAGGCATACGAAGTTGAAAGTACTGGTATTTGCTGCAAGAAACTAATCCAAAAAGGAGCTTGATGTGGACAGAATCTAGTATGCCCAGGGACATCTATTGACTTTAATAAGGCTTTATACAAGACCAAATGTGTACCCATGTGGAAATCCATGAATCAAATTTGAAACTGTTTAGGAACAGTAATGGAAAAAATAAGAAAGAAATGCTGATAAAATCCTTGGATAGATAGCATTATTATTTTACTAGTTTCAAGATTCATTTTTCTTTCTTTCTTTAATTGTTCTTTTTTTCTTTTACATGTGTCTGACTAGTAAATAGATAACTGTTAACTTGTAGTAAGAATCCGTACAATAGAACTGGATGACAAATTCTATAACAAAACTATATGGTCTTGATATTTGTCCCATTGATTTCATTTCATGAAGAATATATGTCAGCTAAATATAAGGATTTAACAGCAGAACTGTATATTCATTTGAAACTTTTTAAATTGGAAACTTCATTTGAAAGTGGAATTTAATTTGAAGAATAACTCATCTATTCCTCTCACCTTCAATTCCCCTGGAAAAAGAGAGCTTAGAAAAAATAATCTGAGATCACGTGGGAACTTTAAATCAATTTGCCAAACATTTCAGAACATTTACAAAATCTAAGTATAAAAATTAAACACAAGTATTCTGAAACTATTTTTAAGCTACAGTTCCTGTGGCTAGAGGCAAGTGAAAGATAGTAAGCAAAATTTTTTTTCTGTGCGATGTCTATCATTCTTTCTGCTTCAGATATCATCAATTCTATATGTACAGAAGACAGCCTAAAAAAAAAAAAAAGTACAAAATTGCATTTTCCTTGCAAGATTTAAGTAGTTGCTAAGATTCATTAACGGAAAAAGAGCAAGAATGGACTTTGAAGCAAGTATTTGACTTCTGGAGTAAAGCTGTTTCTGTACAGTACCTTTTAAAAGCTTCAGGGAACAGAATCTTATTCTGAAGTTGCAATTTATGTCTGCCACAGATCCAATTTTTTTCTTTTTTCATGACAAAATGAAGTAAATATTGAACTATCTAGAGAGTGTATTTTTCTTATACTAATAAAGGGAGCCAATGCTATGAATATTCATCTGAATTTGGGAACAAATTGCAGCTAAGTTAGGTTGGTTGTGGTACTTACAGATAAGATTCATTCATTTGGCAAAACCCTCTGCTTCAGCCAAAATACACTTAGTGAACCTATGGATTAAGTGAGAAAGTATATTTTCTTTCCCTTGATTTAGTACATCCCAGGATATTTGGCCAATTTGTACCATAAGTTAAAGTTTGTTTCCATCAGTCAAGAATGAAGTACTCATCAATTCTACTCAATCAAGAATTGTAGTACTCAACAACTTTGCCTCAGTCACTGGCAGTCAGGAGCAAAGTCTCCCCCACTGTAAGCATAGAGCAGGTTCAAAACCACCTGATGAAACTGAACAGATACAAGTCTATAGCACCTCATTACATGCATCCCAGGGTCCTGAGGGAACAGGCTGATGTAGTTGCCATGCCATTCTCCATCATATTTGAAAAGTCATGGCAGTCTGGTGAAGTACCTGATGACTGGAAACATAATTCACATTTTTAGTTAGGGTAAAAAGGAAGACCTGGGGA